ATGGTCTGTCTAAGTGAAACTGAGCGCATAGAATTATTAATGATTTAGTTTTGCTCAAATGAAATTAAAAAAAAATAACAATAAAAATAAATATTGTTTAATAATGTAGTTTAATAATGTATTTGCCATTTCAAACAGAAAGAAAGTATGATTGTGTTATATCAATGAATTCAGAAAAAAAAGAACTCTACTCAGAAATGCATGAATTATATGGTAGTGTACCCCTATACCTAATTTCAGTTGATTTGTACAATTGGTTCTCAACATATTTAACCGTTTCCATTCATTATAGCGACCCTGTATAATCATTAATAATTAATACTTGCTCTTCCCGCCTTTTTCTGAGAAACATGGTAGGGGTACGTACTATGAGCAGAGACGGGAAATGACGCATTTTTCTTAAAATTTTGTCTCTAGTTGTGAGACTTTTATCTCTTTGACCTTTTCTCCTAAATAAGCTTTTATGAAGGTCCCAAGCGGTCGACCAGCTTACCGGCCTAGTGATTGACAACTGTCTAACGCTCTCCATAGTGCTTGCATTGTGGGTTGCCTAATTTAGAAAACAGAAATACGGGCTCGGTCCGACGGACCCTTAACTTTCATAACGAAATAACTATTTATGCAGTAAAAAGCAAAAGTGACACATTTTATTACGCGAAGTGAAATTGCCCTCGAGGCGTTAGCCGAAATGGGGCAAACGTGAAGTAATAAAAGACACTTTTGCCTCGCATAGCATACAAGATTTTTTGTAATTTAGTTCATTCGTAGATATTTTTTCAAAAAATTTTGATTTAACTGTCAATCGTAATAAGGATCGTAGTTTGCAGTGTTACGGAAATGAAAGCGTTACTATTTACATATTTTTGCAAAAACGCGAAAAACTAATTACACGTTACACATTTCGTTAATTTCATCAGTGTTTTTGTGTGTGACGCCGTATTAGTATTAATAATCTTAAGAAACATGAGTGATTCAAAAGATGACGTGCTGTTGGAGATTGAAAACGTTGCCAAAGAAGCAATTTCAAATTTATTACCGTCAAAGTCGAAGGAATTGTATGAAATGGCTTACAAACGCTATGAAAATTGGTGTCAGCTGAAGGTCAAAATTACGTCAGAAAAAGCAATTTTTGCGTATTTTTCCAAAAAAGCAAAGAGCCGAAAAGCGTTTACAGTCTGGAGTCAATTTATACATTTCATTGTTTTTTAAAGCGAAACGCTGAAGGCAGTGGCGGCTCGTGACTGTCTGATGTGGTGAGGCGATGATAGAAGTTTGACAATAATATTATCAATAATAAAATTAATTAAATTAATGTGATTAATGCATATTACTTGATCTTAGTAGTCAGTAATGATAGAAGTCTTGCCTGAATACCGTTCATTTCCCCGTCAGTAGTGGGTCCTAATAATAGTAATAATAATAATAATATTAACACCCATAACACATTTCATCAACAATGTTTTTACAAGTCAAAATTTTGTTTAAACTAGCACTTTCTTGGAGGGATTCGGCAATTGTTGTGTTCCTTTCTAAATCTTTTAAGCCCATGAAATTTTTAATGTGTACTTTGGAACTTTTATGTAACTTTGCACTTCGAATGAAATTCTTTAAATCGTTATATCTCGGAGACGTCGTCCATGTGTTTTTTACATTGCCTAAGAGTAGACACGGCCAACAATATAGACTTTCAGCATAAATATTACGGCTACGGCAGAGCCGTTTATGTTTCGTACCAGGCTGGTTTAAAAGATCTGGAGTACTGATGACATTGTCGCTTATCAATGGAAGTTAACGGTTTTGACTGTTCGATATTTAGCAAAATTTACCGACGTTCTAACTCGGTTCGTCGTGAAAACGGCGTTTCAAGAAGCAACATGACAATATCGTACTCGGGATTCATGTTTCACTCACCTGTACCCTGTACCTATGAAAGAGACAAAAACACGAAACACCAACTCCTGGACTTTTATTCACGTTTATGCTAATTACCCACGCACCCTGCATCCCTTCTATTCTGTAAAATAAATGGGAAAATGGTTTAATGGGTCCGCCGAAATTGGCCGAGAAGCATCGAAGATATCGCCTCAGTTGCGAGCGAATTCATGTATAGGAGTATAGCAGCTGAGTCATGGAAATCCGTGTCTGTGATTGGGCTTCATTGGCTCAAGTGAACCGACGCTCTGGCCGCTTCAGTTAAAGAATTCGGGGCATGAATCGTACAGTATTCAACGGAAAATGTCCGCAGAAAGTGTAAAAATAAAAAATCATCTACAGATTTACCATTTCAACATATTTTTGTAACTAAAAATGCATTGAAAGCTCTTTTTTAATTATAAATTAAATCAATCTGTTCTTAAGATATATGCTGTGAGGCGCCGCCTCACTTGCCTCATATGACGAGCCGCCACTGGCTGAAGGTTATAAACCGAAAAGATCAAAAACCTTTACAAGGAACGACATCAGCAGATTTTCAAGGGAAACAGACGGCAATATTTATCTGGCAATTAAGGTATTTTTGCAAAAAATTATTGAATTTGTTGTACAATTCCAATTTACAATGTTAATTCAAGATGCATATAAAAAGTTCGCGCAACAAAACGAACAGGATATTTAGATGTCTACCTTCTATCGAATCCTCTTAACATACCAAATACAGACGAAGAAATCGCTCCTCAATTATTCATTTCTATACGTTCAGTATCAGAAAATGACGATTTCACTGCTTTAAAAAAATCCAAGAATTCCTTTACAACAGGTCCAGATGGCATTCCTAGCTTCATTCTGAAGGATTGTTCTAGAATTTTGGTCAAACCGTTGCAGATAATCTTTAACCTTATTATAAATCAAGGCAAGTTTCCCGAAATTTGGAAGAACGCTTGCATTTGCCCTTTCTTTAAAACTGGTGACCAGGGGCGGCTCATGACTTGAAAAGTTGATGAGGCAAAGCACAATACGCTCCAAAATATAAATAAATCAAGATTACTTAAATATTTTCTACTTAGTCAAATAAACAAATTTGTAAACTCATTTAACTGTCCACCAAGAACCAACGTGAAGGTGTAAGGAACTCTTGTAAGGAAAGAATGGGAATGACAGGACAAAAGGAAAGGGAAACCTGGTCAGAAAAAACTAATATAACTTAACAAAAAACAAAATTAAAATAAACTTTAAAGAAAACAAATATTTCTTCGTCTTCTAGGGGTCATGAAAGATCGAGAAAACGCAAAAGTAGACAGTCGGCCGACGGACTCGATTACAATACTTCCTTTGCTTACGCTCGGGAAGTAAAAAGGTCAACTACAACAAACCTAGCGTGTTTCGCACAGGCTCTAATTTAGGACCCTTGTTATTCCTCCTTTTTATTAACGATGTTGTTGAAAACATTACAACTAATATATTATTGTTCGCAGATGATATTAAACTTTTCTTGGATGTTAGATTGAATATATTGGTGGAAGACTGTAAATCACTTCAGTGGAATTTGAATATTATTTGCAGTTAGTGTAATGACAACCGCTTAACTTTAAATAAGGATAAATGCTTTATTGTCTCGTACACGAGAAAACAAGAACCATTAATCTTTAATTATCAACTCTCAAATATAGACTTAAACCGTAAATATAGCTTTAAAGATTTAGGAATAATTTTTGATGCAAAGTTCACCTTTATTGAACATATTACGAATATCGTCTTTCACGCCTACAAAATGTATGTCTTTATTTGTAGAAATAGTAAAGAGTTTAGCGATGTACGTACCTTGTGTAGTTTATATTACGTGCTTGTAAGATGCAGATTAGAATATGGAGTGATTATTTGGAATCCGATATACGAAAATCATACAAATAGCTTAGAAAGAGTACAACGCTGAACGAAACTTTGACCATGTAGCTCTAGTAAATAGATTTAACTTTTTATCCTTAAAAACAAGACGCATTATTACCTATTATTGTGAAAATGGTTTTTAATTTGCTGAATAATAAAATTGATGCTCCTTCATTGCTTAGCAGAATAAATTTCAAGGTACCAAGAATAGCATCGCGGCAAGAAATATTATTCTATTGTTCGGTAACTAGAACAAATGTAATCCGGAAGTCGCCTATGCATTTAATATGTGACTTCTTCAATAGAATTGCTAAGAAATGTGATGTAAACTGTAGCAAATTTAGTGTGGTGAAAAATTTAATTGTAAGTACTGAATGTTTATGGGATTCATTTTTTGTGTTAGTTTTATTATTGTTATTATAGTGATAGGGCAGTAGTTAAGTTTTTGTTCCTTATAATTGGGTTTAACCTGTTGGGAATAAAGCGATATTATTATTTCTGTACGTTACTTTGATAGTTGGGGCACAGTAGGTTGGGGTGGCTGGTGGATGTCGAAAAGATGAATTAGTCGACATGCTGATTGAAGACATCCTCTAACGTTAGCGGATTATCATCTACTATTAATGGTGCAACATTTAAAAACTGTACTGTTAATATTTATGTGCTGATAGAATAATGTGATTTTTTGTCAGTAGTGATAAAAAGAGTAATATTTCGTAACTGAAAATGCATATGAAATGTCGATATTTGACAACTAAATTACAAAAAGTAACTTTATTACTTAACAAGTCGTAAATAAATATTTATATTATATATTTAGTTATTCAGTTAGTTCCTTTTTAAGGCAAATTAACAAACGCCTATGTTTATAAATAATTTACTTGAAGAAAAACGCTGGGAAACATTCTGGTAGGCTATAAAAAATATATCTTGAGAACATTCGAGGTTTACAGGTATTTGTCCGCTTACTTTTTTGTTTCAAGTGCATATTTTCCGAGTTGTAATTAATAATATGTCCTGCGAAACCCTTCAAATTTTAAAAAGAATCCCTTATTTGTGTTTTTCTTTAAAAAATGAAATAAAGCAGTTCCGTAACATGTATTAGGATTGGAATTATTTAGTAGTACAGTAGGTGACCTCCGGAAGTAAAACAGTTATAGAGTCGTAACCAGCAGACTCCGACAAAAGCAGGGGACCAGGCACCCAACATTCAGTTAGATTTTGCTGTGACTACGTGGATATCGTATTATTTAACTTCAATAATATGTGCATTCAAAAGTGAACGCGTTACGAAATTATAATAAAAATGGACTTGCTATCTAGATACAGACGATTTTCTATTCCAAAGAGGTAAGTTCTATTTTGTAGTAATATAAATTTATTATGTGCATTACTATTTTGTAGTTTTTAAATACTTTTAGAACATAATACGTGAAACTGAAATACGTGCGTTTCTTTTTTCTATACCTACGTCGCGGTGTAGTATATTATATACTTTAGCTGTCATGTGTCCAAAAAGGTAACATAATTTCGGAAAATTTTAATAATAAAATCTGACGATAACATCATCTTATTTTCTTGTTAATTAAATCCTTAATTTTGTTCATTATAATAAAATAAAACGCTTTATTTTTCTAACAAACTTAAATGACAATATTTTCAAAAATAGACTATACATTTACCAGTCAAAACAGCTTAAATCAAGTAAATTCACGTTTTCAATCAGTTTTTGTGGGACAAGACGTAGAAAACTTATTAGTGAGTACTATATTACAAGTGGCCGGCAGAAAGTCTGGAGTCTTAAGAATTACTGGAAATATTGGAATTCTGTAAACGCCATTGTTAAATTGTGTAACAAAATTTTAAAATTTAACTTTGAATCTGCAAAACCTAGTGCTATCTTGCAAACTTTTTAGGGTTATCGTAAGCATAGTAAATCGTTAATAAAAGTGTACCTGTTTATTGTTTATTCCCTACCCAAAAAAAAAACTGTTAACGTCATCTCGAAATTTTAATGAATAAATCTGAAATATGCACAATTTTAATAAGAGTCTACCTTTGTGGTTTATCAACACAAATGAGGCGACATGTTTTCTTGTCCATCACATTTTTCCGAAAATTAGAGAATACAGAGGTCCGTGAAATTGACCCCAGCAATGTAAAATATTTACCTAAATTTACTACAAAAAATTAGTAAGTTATTTGTAAGTATTTGTAAATCAACTTTTATAATTTTTACTTCCCGAGCGTAAGCAAAGGAAGTATTGTAATCGAGTCCGTCGGCCGACTCTCTACTTTTACGTTTTCTCGATCTTTCATGACCCCTAGAAGACGAAGAAATGGGTCTCCCATTTCCGTCTGTCTGTCCGTCTGTCCGTCCGTCTGTCCGTCCGTCTGTCCGTCTGTCCGTCTGTCCGTCTGCCGTCCCGGATTTTTATTAGACAGATAATCTCCGAAAGTACTCGACCGATTGTTGTGAAATTTTGTACTTATATTAAGAATATCATGTACATGGTAAAACGCTAGCCAAAATTTGTCTAATCATCCCCACCACTAATGCGATGACGTCACTTCAAAATTGTACATAGTAAATGGGTTTTGAATTGTATAAAATAACATAGTCCTACACATGTAGTTTACAACTCTGAATCGACTTTTCACCCGAAACGTCCAGATTTTTGGAAAAAAAATCAAAATTATAAAACAACATTTTGACATTTAATTTTTAATCTGCTAACCAGAATGCTTTGAAATGTTGCAGATGTTTTAAGGCTATAAAGAGCATCATAAATCTTTAGTCAAAAAATATTTGCTTATCCCCTCCAAAAACTTGATGACGTCAGCTCAAAAGTTTGTGGAATAAATCATATCTAAAATGTACAAAATATGATGAGTCTGTACTTGTGATCTATCACTCCATTCATATTTTTTGGATTTGCATATACAGGGTGACTCAAAAAAATTAATGAATGCGTAAATTTATTTTATCGATTTAATCAGGAATTACAAAACCGAATGCTTTGAAATCTTGGGAATATTTTAAAGTTATTATAAGCATGGTAAACTTTTGTTCAAAATGTATTTGTTCATCCCTCCTAAAAAAATTGGTCTAAAGAGTTTAGACAGTACTTCCCTCGCTGTCGGAAACTTGACGACTGCATGCCTATTGTGTTTTTTTTTCTCATTACATTTTTGTAGTGGGAATTTAAAAAAAAATGTGATGACGTCATCAACATTTTTGCAAGGACACGTATATCAGTTGGGATAGATGTAGTGTAATACTAAGAATAAAATTATTGTATTCCCAAATTTTCGGGAAAATGAATTGGGTCGTTTTGAATATTGATTTCTTATGATCAATAAAATAACGAAACAATTTACTCACGTATACGGCGCCGGTGTGTAATATGTAGAGAGCGGATTTCTGTCGGGCTTGGCAAGGCCAAACTCGGTACGGCTCGTACGGGATGCGAATTCATTGCGGTTGCGGACTGCACTTCGTTTATTTGAGATTAGAATAACGCTGTTTCGTTGCACTCTGCTGTTAATTCCCGTTCTCATTTACTTAGCCGTTTGATTAATAAACCGTTAATTATATTTACGGAATTAGTACTGATTAAATTCTAGCACCCGCTACTGAGTCCCGGCGATCCAGCGCGTCCCCACCTATAATCGTGACGTAGCCCGACAAAAATCCGCTGTCTAGTAATATGAAAGGCAACTGAAAATCGTTTATGTATAAACATTCTTAATTTAAGAGGACAAGCGTAACAGCATACGTGAGAGTCAAACAGAGAAACTGTAAACAAAACGACCATCGGTTTTATTGCTTCGACTTCCGCTTATTATATAAAACATTGGGTTTTATTTTAATTCTTGACGATGAAATTCACAATTGGTTGATTATAAACATGTCGATTTCACATTCGCGGAACCAAGTGAGCGCATAAAACAAATGCAGGTCTGTAATGTTAAAGTCGATGTAAATAAGCGTGCTACCCTTATGTTTCAACCGAGTTTTTCCTTTAACAAATTTTGTGTCTACCAAATTGGGTTGGTTGGGGTGTAATACTAATAATAATAAGTGTTGCCTTTAATTTAATCAATAAAATAAATTGACTTCATTAATTTTTTCAAACCACCTCTTAAGAAAATCTAAAAAATTTGAATGGAATGATAAATTACAAGTACAAACTCATCATATTTTTTGCATTTTGGATAGGATTTATTCAGCAAAATTTAAGGGTGACGTCATCAATTTTTTAAGGAGGGATGAACAAATACATTTTGAACAAAAGTTTACCATGCTTATAATAACTGTAAAATACTCCCAAGATTTCAAAGCATTCGGTTTTGTAATTCATGATTGAATCGATAAAATAAATTCACGCCTTCATTAATTTTTTTGAGTCACCCTGCATATGCAAATCCAAAAATATGAATGGAATGATAAATCACAAGTACAGACTCATCATATTTTGTACATTTTAGATACGATTTATTCGGCAAACTTTTGAGCTGACGTCATCAGTTTTTTGTAGAAGATAACCAAATATATTTTGACTAAAAATTTATTATGCTCTTTATAACTTTAAAACATCTGCAAGATCCCAGAGCATTCGGTTTTGTAGTTCCTGATTAAATCAATAAAACATATTTAAGCATTCATTAATTTTTTTGAGTCACCCTGTATATGCAAATCCAAAAAATATGAATGGAGTGATAGATCACAAGTACAGACTCATCATATTTTGTACATTTTAGATATGATTTATTCCACAAACTTTTGAGCTGACGTCATCAAGTTTTTGGAGGGGATAAGCAAATATATTTTGACTAAACATTTATTATGCGCTTTATAATCTTAAAACATCTGCAAGATTTCAAAGCATTCGGTTTTGTAGTTTCTGAGTAAATCAGTAAAATAAATTTACGCATTCATTAATTTTTTTGAGTCACCCTGTATATGCAAATCCACAAAATATGAATGGAGTGATAGATCACAAGTACAGACTCATCATATTTTGTACATTTTAGATATGATTTATTCCACAAACTTTTGAGCTGACGTCATCAAGTTTTTGGAGGGGATAAGCAAATATTTTTTGACTAAAGATTTATGATGCTCTTTATAGCCTTAAAACATCTGCAACATTTCAAAGCATTCTGGTTATCAGATTAAAAAGTAAATTTCAAAATGTTGTTTTATAATTTTGATTTTTTTTTCCAAAAATCTGGACGTTTCGGGTGAAAAGTCGATTCAGAGTTGTAAACTACATGTGTAGGACTATGTTATTTTATACAATTGAAAACCCATTTACTATGTACAATTTTGAAGTGACGTCATCGCATTAGTGGTGGGGATGATTAGACAAATTTTGGTTAGCGTTTTACCATCTACATGATATTCTTAATATAAGTACAAAATTTCACAACAATCGGTCGAGTACTTTCGGAGATTATCTGTCTAATAAAAATCCGGGACAACAGACGGACAGACGGACGGACAGACAGAAGGACAGACGGACAGACGGACAGACGGACAGACGGACAGACGGACAGACGGACAGACGGACGGACAGACGGACGGACAGACGGACAGACAGACGGAAATGGGAGACCTATTTCTTCGTCTTCTAGGGGTCATGAAAGATCGAGAAAACGTAAAAGTAGAGAGTCGGCCGACGGACTCGATTACAATACTTCCTTTGCTTACGCTCGGGAAGTAAAAATTGATGACGTCACCCTTAAATTTTGCTGAATAAATCCTATCTAAAATGCAAAAAATATGATAAGATTGTACTTGTGATTTATCATTCCATTCATATTTTTTAGATTTTCTTAAGAGGTGGTTCAAAAAAATTAATGAAGTCAATTTATTTTATTGATTAAATTAAAGGCAACACTTATTATTAGTAACACATCCCAACCAACCCAATTTGGTAGACACAAAATTTGTTAAAGGAAAAACTCGGTTGAAACATAAGGGTAGCACGCTTATTTAGATCGACTTTAACATTACAGACCTGCATTTGTTTTATGCGCTCACTTGGTTCCGCGAATGTGAAATAGACATGTTTATAATCAACCAATTGTGAATTTCACCGTCAAGAATTAAAATAAAACCCAATGTTTTATATAATAAGCGGAAGTCGAAGCAATAAAACCGATGGTCGTTTTGTTTACAGTTTCTCTGTTTGACTCTCACGTATGCTGTTACGCTTGTCATCTTAAATTAAGAATGTTTATACATAAACGATTTTCAGTTGCCTTTCATATTACTAGACAGCGGATTTTTGTCGGGCTACGTCACGATTATAGGTGGGGACGCGCTGGATCGCCGGGACTCA